CCTTTCCTTCCTTGCCGTCAGGGCAATTATGCTTGAGCTTCCTTCTGCTTTGCCTGGCAGGCTGGCATACGAACCTTCAGTGCACCACTCCACTAGCCAGACGCTCTATAAATACGGCCTCCTGGGTTGCTGCTTTCTCTGTCGGTGAAGTGCAGAGGCTTTATGCACAAGCAAAAACTTGTCCCAGGTGGTGACAAAGTAAGAATTTCGAAAACAAGATTCAGAAGCTGTATAGAATATCCCTTTCTCATTCTCTTTTTGGAAGACCTTCCCAGATTCAGGGATAACGTAAGACAAGTTCCCAGACATTTTCAAGTGCATATCAAAGGTATGAGCCACTGTCCAGCAATACAAAACGTGTTTCTTTCAATGTATCGCAAGCTTTCCATCCTTCCTGAGTGACCCCTAACTTCTCACACCCACACTGATTTTGGGGGGGGGGGGGGGAACAAACAAACAGAAAAAGAGTAGAAGATAAAGTTCAGTATGACAGTTTTTCCATGTGATGGAGGCTTCCAGAAAAGCCTGCAGTCACTACTCACAGTGAGTTAGTACACTTTCTTTCAAGGTATTTACTAACAAATTCAGGATATTCGCTTTGGCTTCAGCATTGAATCTTTAAAACTATAGAGCGCTCCGATCGCATAATGCAAGACCTTGTATCAGTTTCTAGTTTAATACCCAAGCTATTGCTTTACTGTACATTGAAGCAATAATTGAATATGGGCTTGGGGACAGCCTTTACCTGCACACAAAACTACTTTCGTAGGCCACAGACTTGTGATCTGGGGTCCAAACTTAATGCAAGATAAACTAGGCGCTCTGCTATTATATGAGAAACCAAAACATTCCTGAGAAGGAAAGACAAAGATGAAAAATTAGCAAAGCAATTGTCATTACCAAAAGTAGGAAACCAATTTTTCATTCCAATCCTTTAAAGGTTGTTTTCTAACTTGCAAGTACTGAAGACAAATCCTACCCTGAAGGCCAACTTACTGCGTGTTCTCATTTTTTTTTTTTTAAACTTCTTTGGAAAACGCTTGCCTTGCAATAAGAAAGTAAAGAGACATGAGGTTGTTAAGCGATCCGAGTATTGTCTTACAAGTATTTAAAGAGATTTGTGATAATGAGCTCTTCTAACAAAGGCACGCAAGATCCAACTGCTGAGAATTTAATTTGGAAGAAATCAAAATGGAAAGAATTTTTAAGAATTAGACTACTGGAATAATTCATGTAGGAAACTGATATTTTAAAATCAGAAGTAGCTGTTTAATACATCTTGTCTCCAGTTTTATTGCAGCATCCGTATCTACCGCGCTTCTGCTAAAGCCGTTCACCAGCATTGCCCCTTGCCAGGCTTTATCCATGGATCTCTCCGGAGAGCGTTTCCCACGTACGTAACCATCTTAAGCCTTTCTCTTCACTTCCAAACTGCAAGGCAGAGTAGCACGAGGACTGAAACAGTAGAATGCTGCTATAAAAGACCAAGTTCCTTCACCAGCTGCGAAGTGTAAGGCTCAAGGGTTTATAAAGAACACTGTGTGGCTCTAATGCCTCTTTTCTATATCCACCCTTTACCTCCCTCACAGGCATGGTTGTCTGCAGTACAAGCATCCTCATCATCACGAGAGGACCTTTAAAAAAAATAAACTTAATGAAAACAGAGCATTTACTAAGGTAATTCTGGCAGAAACTTAAATTACCACCTCATTGTTTGGTTTTTTTTTTTCCTCACACAAGCGTCCTTACACTTAACACATGCGAATGGGTATCTGATCCCTGGAAGTTCGCTGTTGAAAAGGGACATGAAGTTTAGACGGGAGGAGGTGGAAAAAAAAGCCAAGCACCTGGAAAACACTTCATTGCTTCTTTATTTAGATGCACCCACAGTACAGAGCCTCTTGAGCATGTGCAAAAGAGGAAGATTACACATTTATAGCTGGGAGCACCATTGAGTTCGAGTTTCTTTGATACCATTTTTAAGAAAGTAAACTATTTCCAAAGAATGACATTTGAATCCAAGAGCTTAAGACCTGCTTCTACTTTATCCAGAGGTGGAAGGTATTTTTCTTTTATTATTACTTTGATGTAGAGTAGAAGACATTTTCACAGTCTGGTTGGACCAGTCTATATATTTTCATATGCACCTTTTAATATATATAAAAAATGTTTCATTTTTCCCCCCTACCCACAGATAGTTAAATGCATCGAAGTTTAAAAACAGTAATGGACCAGAGCATTCCTATGGGGAAAAATGAACTTTTGCTGCCCTCTCCTGCTTAAACAATGAAATGCTAAAATATTAAGATCTATGACTAATACTAACCTTGAAACAAAAAGCATGACAGGTCATTCGCTATACTACAATCAAAAATAGGACAACAACAAGAAATGTATCGGTACTATTTATATTTGAAAACTCCTCATCGTTACATGAGGTTATGAATACAACATATTTACAGTAAGCGATCCAAGTAACAAAAACTTGTATTCAGAGAGGTCATGATAAAAAGTGTGTGCTTCTGTGGACGGGAAGCAACACTTGGATAAAAGTTTTCAATCAAAATTAGTTCCATTCTGTTTCAAGACACTGCTTCGTAGACTTCAAAATGAAAAACTGGGCTATACAAAATCTGCTGCACAGACCAACTAGAAAAACTAACTCGTGGCTCACTCGAGAGCTGCTAAGGGAAGCTGGTGAGCCAAAATAAGAAAGCCACATGTAAATAAAAACATTCTTCAATCTCGTGCATTGTCACCTTTGTCTTGTTTTAGGGCAACTGCTTTGGGATGCTGTGGTTACACAATTAAGAGAAAAGGCCATCTTTGTTTTCCAAGACAGAACTAAAAGCAAATTATTTCAGTTTTACCTGGGGGGAGAAGAATCTACTCTTCCCCCTCCTCACAAAACAATAAAGAGGTTTTTAAAGCTCCTAATATATTTTCCTTTCATAGAGTGAGAGAGCCTGAGGCTGTACTTACGCACGTATAATGTAAGTACAGCTGCTGCATTTCTTACTCAAGCAATTCTTGGCTCTAACACCCTCGATTTTTCCATATATAGGAGATAAAAAATAAATTAAATCCTTTTATTTATGCTAACAAAACCAAGATTAAATTTACTGTAACCCTGCTAGTGAACGCTCCAATGGCATTAGAATACTTTTATTTAAAGCATTCCAACCCTTGGAAGAGAGACAAAAAACACTCAAAAGCAATGAAAGGAAAACAATAAGGGAGACTTGCAAGATGAAGAAAGCAATGTGTGCTCAATTTAAAGTATATGAGAGGAACTTTACTTTTACAGTTGTTATATCCCCACGACCTGATGCAATGCCCTTGTACTGAAAATGCAGCTCTTTCCTTTAACCAGAGAGCATTCAATCCTTTCTCCTGAAACCAATATGGTACAGGACATGAGCGACCACCCAACAACTGCTGTACGAGCAGTTAATAAAAACATTTACACAAATAAAGGTAGTTTCTGGAACTCAAGAAGCAAACGAAAGCATAATTAAATAGACGCACTGATCACACTTGGGCCCATACGCTGCCTTCTTCTTTGCCTGCAACTCCAACTGATACCAATGGGAGCTCTGCGGAGCGGCAGGACATCGCATTTGGATTGCGGCAAACAGTGGATCCCGGGGGTACGGTCGTATCATTGTGGCAAGTGCTTCTTCTCGTACATCACACAGTGCAACCTAGTGTCGTATCAGCCTTTTAGAGTCAAGTGACTAATATCACATCATCTCATTCACTTTAACGAAACATTCCTTCTCGGAAGTGATAAATCATCTATAAACTTTAGATACTCCCCACTATCCCCACATCAGAGGTAACATCAGAGGTAACAAAATATTGCAACCCATCAGGTTCTCATCAGTTTTGTATGATCAATACCAGAATGTCATGTCAGAACCAAAAACAGTTATGAACAAACAACACTCACCTAAACTCTAAGTACAGGACAAGGTGCTTTTTCTAATTTCACATTGTTGTGTCTCACTCCACCAGGTGGAAAACGTTACTCTCTTTTCCTCCATTCTATCTCAGTTTTTCACAATTGAACATAGTCTTTAAGCATGAGTTTAAGTCCACCCTTGTGTAAAGCATGATCATTTCACACAGAAATCACGCTAGCAAATCTTTCTGGTAACAGAAAAGACTGTCAAAATCAATGGGCTAAGGGACATGATTTGTTATAAATTTATTTAATCTTCAGTATTTCAGCTTGCACCTTTGCTTCAGCACTTTAAAATAAAACGTTTCAACTATGACAGTAACTGCCTACTTTACATTGCGTCCCAGTCAGTGTTCTTAAAGAAGCTCATATTAATCCCATTAAACCATGTTGTGTTTGGTGTTGCGTATGACTAGTTCCACTTTTTTTTCCAGAATTAACAGTGTCAAGTTTTTACAAAATCGTTGAGTTTACAACATTTGTGTGCGCAGACCCGGGAGTACAAACTGTGACCTGATAATCCTGAAACAGTCAGTAGTCTAGGAGGGAATTCTTTTTTACCTCTTTTCCGTGCCTGAAAACATGAAAACTTCAAATCCTACTGTATATTTAAATGGTAGGAAGAAAAATATACAAGCTTGTATTTATACTGTATTTCTATCAATGGCAACAGGTCATAAATTCATGTTTGCAACTATCACAAAGACTCATGAACACCAATTCAGTTTTATACTGTAAATACTGCTGGATTGATGGTTTAGGATTATCAATTCACTGTTGTCGTATGTCTATAACAGTTCAAAAGCATCCTGGAGAAAAATCCTGAAACACATACCTTTCGGTATATAATAATGCAACTGCATTAGCTAAATATATACTGTACATAAGTCTTATCAGCATTTTACCTACCAAAGATGTAAGATTCCACTTTCAAATACAAAGCAGATAGCCAATAATGTATACTTATAATACAGCCCTCTTCTTTGTTTTTGTATTTTTTTTTCTTTTGTTTTAAACAATTTGGTCACAATGCACCTTTGATATAAAAGCATTTTAAACTTTATTATTAATACTCAGAACATTAGGATTTCCAGAATTTTTTTCAGTAGCATTTGTAGAACCACTTTTGGTAACAAATACAGTAGTTAGGAATGAGCATCCAGATGAGAATGCAGAAGTGTATCATCCAGAATCCTTTCCAGCTAAGACCATAGGGCTGGTACTGTGATGAGTAATAGTACTAGAACCACAAAAACACTATAGTATGTTTCTTAGAGGCTACATCCTCTTTTGCTGGAACACTTTATAAATACATATTAAAAAGTAAGGCAACAACTCCAAACAGCCCAAACTGCTATCTCAGCTCAATTTCCAATTAGATCCATGACCACTGGAGACCAATTTCATGCTTGCACTGTTTAGCGTTTGTCTTTATTCTTTCTAAATGGTCCAATAAAAACATACTGTAATAATTTAGCAATTAGTATTTCTAAAACAACTCCGGTATGTGTGTCCAATGCCATATCACTAATACTGGTTAGGTACTGAAGTCCAAGGTGTTACCACTGCCCGTTTTTAAAGGATTGTGGACACTAATTTGGATTTGCAATAAATAGGTGCATGAATCCAAAGCTCCCTTTCCTACTATGTTTATCACCTACTTGTTTTTTAACTCCTAATGTTCAAATTAAGGAAGCACCAGAGACAGCCTGGTACTAAAAAAATGCTCACACCAGTAAACAAAACTTTTATTCAGGACCTACGTTTTTCATGGCCCTGATCTGAATGGACATTCAACTTATGAAGATGTGCAAAAGGAAAAAAAGTCAAATTACAGTAAAGTTATCCAGAGAAGGAGGATGTTACACAAACTCATAAAGAAATGACAGTCTTTTTTCTCTTTTACTATAAATACACTTAACAGTTTAGCAGAAAGACAAGCTAAATTTTAAGATTGTTCACATTTGAAAGTTGTATTACACTCTCTGCTAACGATAAATAAGGAACAGGTCCTGACAATGGAATTTGACATCTCAATTTTCATCAACAGATCTTTGAAGACTGGTTTTAAAGAAGGGTTAAAACAATGATTATGTTTGCAAAGTTCTGAGAAGTCCATCTGCTGTCCAAACTTTGGATTAAAGTCCTTATTTTTTTCCTTTACTTAGAGACAGGTATATACAGTGCTGTTGTAATAATGAAACAAATGTGAAATCTACTGTAAAGTTGCACAATACAGAAAACTGTTGCTCCATCTTCTACTACATAAATGTGTGACTCCACAGGTTAATAATGCTGTTTTGTTTTTTTGTTAAGTTGGAATTATTCCGTCACGTCTAAGACCTCTCTTTAATTCCAAATCCTCCAGTTTTTTCCACAGTTCTTCACGCTCTTTCTCTTTCTTCTTCTCACTGACAGATGAAATAAAACAAAGAGTTAGCAGGAGAGAAGACTGTAGAATATTTACGTAAAAAAATACATAGTTCACATTAATTAGCAGCACTAATTTTGTTGAGCGTAACTGCAATTTTCCTAACTTATACTTAATTTTTGTAAATTTTTTTCTTTTTTTCTTTTAGTTACCTACATAAATATCACTAAACAAAGCAGTAGGAACAGACATAAAACATAAGCTGAACAAAGTGACAGTGTTCATACACACTAATTTGTAATACAGAAGAAAAAGAATGCAGTAGATTTTTATTATGGAACAAATATATCATGATTATAAAAATTAACTAACTTGCATTTAATTATTTTCAAGTTTATTATTTAAGCAAGGTATTTTTTAATCTTATAAATAACAGCCACTTTCTAGAACAAGTGTTCCCTTATCCTTTTAGAATCGCTGTTCTTACTTACACTGACTGGTGGCTTTCATATAGCTTAGGCACCAGCCAAGGGAAAGTTCGAGTTACGTGTCTTTTGTTCAGTGATTTACTTTTTTTTCCTTACTAAATTCCTACAAGAAGATCCATGTAGCATTTGCTTTAACAACAGACTTTAATGGCTGATTTGATAAAACTAACCAGCTAACCTAGCATTTGCTTTACCTGCATTATTTGCTTTCTAAATTTCCTGTCTCTGCCATAGCTTACTTTGACTAAATCTCCTTGATACTGCAAGGTACAAAATGCTTTCAATTTCTATTAAATCACCTTGTAGGTTCAGAAGAAAAAGAAATCTAACAATTATAGAGATATAGATTCTCTGCCAGTCACATTAGAGAATTCTTGAAAAAAATATTTCAGCGGATTAGAAACATTCCTACGCATCTCGATTCACACAAAATGCCAACATCTGGCTCATTTATTTGAAATTTAATTTCCCAAGAGTATTTTAAACATTAAAAATACAAACAAATTTCAGATAAATCCCTGAAGAACAGTAAAGGGGGGAAAAAAAAAAAAGCCCACTGTCACTAGAAAGTATTTTCAATTAAGAATAAGAGAAATAGCCTGGCAATGTCAGGCTACTTACCAATATTTATCTTCTAATCATTATGAAATGTATGTCTGCTTACCTAAAAGACTGTTAGAGGATGATCACATCATCCAACTTACCTATTTGACCTATCATAGTCATTAATATTGAAAATATTTCTCCTCAAGCTTTAAGTGGTATCAAAGCTACCCTTTTGAAATGCGGTTTTATTAAGACGCCTAAGATTTCTGTAAACTTTAAGGTAAATATCCCAGTTTATACATTCAGGTATTTACATGTTTTAAAATGATAAGTAGTAAATAAAAATGGTGAAATGGTTAGCACCAGCCCTGATAGGAGATACAACGTCAGTAGGTGCAAGAAAAATTGTTCGTGCAGTTCAGTCAATAAACCTCACCCATTATCCAGACACGGGACATACTACTACAGTGTCTGATCCTGTTAAGAGCAGAGTCCTCATCTTAAGGGGCAAAGTGCAATCGCAAATTGATTTAGGTCACTGAGCTCCCTCAGTAAATAGCTGGATTAGATGACCAGTCCTAAGATTCTCTGCCCTTTCTGCTAGAAAACCGCGCAGTGTTGTCTCAACTGTACTAGCAGATTGAGCCTTATTTATCAACACCTATCTAGAATTCATCTGGCATCTTACCTCAAATATATATCCAAGTCTCTAAAAGTAAAATACTGTACTAATGAACTAACCTAAGTGTAGATTTTTTGTGTATAAAACTTCATATTTTACAACGAAGCAGAACAAAAGGACAGTGTGACTCCAGTCACACAATTCAAAAAATAAGGCCTCCAAGAGACTTTAGAGACTATACTAACCTAACAAGGTCTGACGACATACAGTACCCTTTGCTTTGCTCGGGGGAACCCTGAGTCACAGAAAAGGTATGACTTAAATGAAGTTGCGAACTGTTCAGGGTTCCTGATGTTTCCTCATTTTTTTCACCTGATGCTTTGGATAAGCTGAAACTTTTGAGAAAAGATGCTGCACTATAATTGGAAAATGAAGATTAAGGAAAATAGGAGAAAAGACAAAAAGCATTTTACTAGGGTGGAACTAATGATCGTATGAGTGGTGTACCTAATGGATCCTGCATGCTAAAAGACTCGGGTACAGCAAGATCTCTGAATAAGAAATGAAAGGGTTGAGAGATGCCTCTTTGCTTTAAGACCACATCTAGCCTACGAACAGTAGTTTGGAAAATCAAATCTTAGGGTTTTCCCTCATGTCTCTTTCCAAACCTCAGTGTAACTTTTTTGAAGTCTTTAAGCAAAGTGCTATATCTTTAAACCCTTGTTTTTCTTTTATTATTGAAGATCTTGATACATTTAAGTCTTTGGGAATGCAGAGGCAAAAGGAATTCCATGAGGAATGCGGATTCCCAAGCAACGCAATGGGTACTGTATTTCATAAAGGGTAAAGGACAACCCGTACATGATATTATCTTACATCTTGCAAGGAGAAGGCTAAAGAGCATGCAAGGGGAAAAATGAGGCATTGTGTCTATTATATGTGAGATTATGCAACTGCATCTGAGTGTAAGGGAAAAACTAAACAGCAGGCCTTATGCACAGCTGACAAAAAAAGCTTTAAAAAGTTACCGCTGACGATCTGACTTGTAAGTGGCTGTCAGCTCGTCAAACATGGTGCTGTTCATTTCCATAAATGCCTTCAACACATTGTAGACTAAAGCCACAATAGCCCTGTGAAACATTAAAAAAGAAAAAGAAAGGAGTCTGTTAGTTTCAGGTGAAATCAAATGTGAAATAAAAGTGTCTTCTCTTACCGGCATGTCTGCGACCAATTCTGCTCTTGCAAGTATGATAATGTAAATTCTTTGATTTCAGTGAAACTACTTTTGATTAACATATTTAAAGGTGAGAATCAGCTTTCATGTCTTTACTGACTACTTAAATGGAGCAAACCAAAACTCTAGGGTAAATGGTAACAACAGAAAGCTATTACATATAACTACAGACTCTTCCCTCATGGTGTGGAGCGATTTCGAATGCAACTCCAGGGATTCAAATCATCAATGCTGGCAGAAGGAACAGAATTTAAAAACGAAATGGGAGTGATTCATATTTCCTTATGATTTTTCTATGAAGCTGAATATTCAGTGCCTCTATGCAAAATACAAGGCTGTATTTCAAGAGTGATTTCCTTGTACTCATACATTTCATATTCTTTTTCACTTTTGTACAGCAAAAAGCTCTTTAAAAACCCCACAAATCCTTCAGATGAGTGCTGCAGGATCTGTGTAGAACTGTGTGTGTGCGTATATATATAAAAAAATGTATATTTTTTTTATATATATAAAAAATATAT